CCCAAGAAAAACTAAAGAGAGCCTTGACTAGGAAACCTGGAGGACAGATCAAAGAGTTTTTGCCAGGTGAGAAGATATTCTTTTGGGTCCCACGTGTCAACAGAGGACGATACCGCCATGGATATGGCGAATGGCGGGGTCCCGCCATTGTGATAGTCAAGGAGTCCCATGAGAAGTACTTCGTAAGCTGGCGGGCTCGATGTCTTTTACTTGCTGCCGCCAACATGAGAGGAGCCACCATGGAAGAAAATGCTGATGTTGGTCTTGAAGAACTTCAAGGGCTCGAAGAAGGTTGGAAGCAACAAGACAAGGAATACCAGGACCTCTCCCAAATCCAAAGACAGCCAGAGGAGACAAGTAAGGACCAGGGCTGGGAGGCTCAAGAAGGCATCCTCAAGTATGGCAAACGGAAAGGAAGAACCAAAAGAGATGCTGTAGCTATGATGAAAGGTTTGAAGAGCGTGCAGAGACTGGTCCGATCGAAGTTCCAGAAGCAGAAAAGAGCCAGTCCAAAGGAGCCACGACAGCGGAAGAAGACTGAGAAGGAGAAAAGGATTGAGGAAGAAGCCAGAAGAGATCTTGAGGAGTTTGAAGGAGGAGGACCGCAAGACGAGATGTCATATGAACCGACGGAGCCAGGCGAGATCATTCCAGATGAGATGGACGATGAATTTTGGAAGGAAGTCAAGGCACAAGAAGATGCCTACGAAGAAGAAGATGAGAAAAGAAAGAAGGAGCAGGCAGAGCGGAGAAGGAAGCTGTTGGATGACGTCCCAGTGTCTTTGAAGAGGAAGCAAACCGAAGAAGAAGAACAGGACAGGCTTAAGATGCCAAGGACGATGTTCCAACAGCTTGAAGTCATGGTGTCAGATCATGAACTCCAAGGAAAGATCAGAAGGAAGGTTCTCCGTCATGAAGAACAAAGAAGGAGGATGAACCAATGGCTTCAAAAGGATGAAGTCGACCAGATGAGCAGGCTTTTGAACCTCCCTCTGAGTGCAGTGAGGTTGCACCGGACGCCAAGAAGAAAATTGCAAGAGTTGCCCAAGGAGGAGCAGAAAAGAAGAATCACGATGATGCTGCTACAAGAACCCGGACAAGCTTTGCTGGTGGACGAGTCGAAGGAAGACATGAAAAGACCTAAGAAGAAAAGTTCAGTGGCATGGAGAGGCATGACATTGTTTGTGCGTGAGAAAAGGGTGAAGACAGTGACGCCAAAAGTTGGACATGAAGTCTACGTCCAGCTTGGAGAAGACACTTTCAAGACGACCTTGAAGAGTGAAGAAGACTGCATAAAATGGAAAGAACTTGTAAGAAGAGAAAAGGTGTGGCAGAAGTACCGCCAGGTGCTTCTCTTGAAGCTAAAAGCCTCAGGGAAAGAATTGGACCCACGCTGGTTCAACGAAGAAGAAACGAAAGCATTCAAGGACTCCGACCGGTCCGAATGGGAAGCCTGGGTGAAGAATGGGGTGATCGAACGGCTCACTCCTGAACAGGGATCGAAGGTTCCCTCCAGTGCTGTGTTCAAGATTCCCCTGAGAATAGTTCGTGTCAACAAGTCAAAGGATCCCAAAGTGCTTCAGGCCAAAAGTCGGGTGGTGATTCCGGGTCACATGGACCCAGGATTAGGTGAATATAGGTCAGACAGTCCGACAACCACCCCAACAGCCATTCGCTTGATGAAGTCGATCAGCGTGACATGTCAGTGGGTCTGCTATGCTTTCGACGTGGCAACGGCATTTTTGTCTGGGAAGCACACCAGTCGTCTCGTGTACGTTCGTGCACCTCCAGATGGCCTCCCAGGCACTAGCATGTCAGACCCAGTCAGCCCTTTCGAATTGATGCGGGTGGTGAAATCCGCCTACGGCTTGAGTGAAGCTCCGAGACTTTGGTATCTTCGAGCCGTTGAATTGCTTCAGCAGTGTGGCATGGTTGAGCTTTCTTTTTGTCGTAGCACCTTCATTGCCAAAGATGAGAAAGAGGTTTTTGCCTTTTGTGGACTCCATGTAGACGATGGATTTTTGTGCGGAAACCCCCGAAATCCCAAGTTTGAAGAGCTTCGGAAAAGCATAGACCAGAAATTCAACATCAAGGCTTGGGAAAACGTAGGCATGAAAGGCACCGACTATCTCGGCATGAAGGTTTACTATGATGAAAAACAACAGGTCATGACAGATGATATGACTGACTATGTGCTCAAGATTGAAAACGTGCACCTCCCTTCAGTTCCGAAAGGGAAGTTGTTTGGTGAGCATGTCACACGCTTCCGACAACTTGTCATGAAGATGAGATGGCCGGCACAACATGTGTTCCCAGAGTTCATGTACAGGATCAGCTCTTTAGCCCAGCGTGTTGGTACTGCAAGCTATGATGATATGAAAGAAGCTCATGCATTATGTGCAGAGATGCGGCTTGCAGCAGAACAGGGACAGGCCAAGCTGGTCTATAGACCTTTGAAAGGGGAACCGATGTTTGTGAGCTATTTCGACGCAGCCCTCGGTCGCAAGAATGATGGTTCTGCCCAATCTGGCGAGCTTCATTTGATTACCGATGTTGGTGCTTTGCGAGAAAGTCGGAATGCCAATGTCATTGAGTATCACTCGAACAAGATTGCTCGAGTGGTTCGTTCAAGTATGGCAGCAGAGAGTTGTGCATTGACCAAGAGTACTGATCACCAACTCTACAATCGTTTGCTGTATGATGCTCTGAAGTATGGACATACTGAAGTGCACAGTGATTGGCGATCTACTCTGCGAGTGTCAGGCGTCCAAGTGACTGACGCCAAAGCTCTTTTTGATCACTGCCATACTACCGGTGGTCTTGCTCAAGAGCGCCAGACGGCCATTGACCTTTTGATGGCCAAGCAATGGATCGAAGAAAAGTTGATGACCCTTAAATGGGTACCCACGTTCAAGCAGGTGGCTGACGCTTTGACAAAATCTATGAAGGACACACTGTTGACTTTGTGGAAGAAGAACGGTCAGGTGTGTCTTGTGTCCACCGCTGCAGACCAAGCAGAAGAGACTAGACGTTCCCAGATACGACGAGGACAACGAGAGCGACGAGCAGCTAGGTTGAAGTCCAGTAAACATTCCCTTCCTGGGATGTGAAAAGTCAAGTGAATAGTGCTGGCTTTACTGGACTTGCTATGTTTCAGGAACCATCTGTGACCGCAGGTGTCGACATCGAATGCAACGCGCGAAAATAGCGCTTAGCTTCAGCCCTAGCTTTGCTTTGCTGTGCTCACTTTTTGTAGGAACCCTTGGTCGGTTTCGGTGTGCTTTGCTCGGTTGTTTTCGGTTCTGGCGTTTTCGATTGGATAAACATAAAACACGTTTTGTACCCTGTTCACTCGTAGGCTGGATGTGTCAACGAACAATAAACGCTATCGATTCTTAAAACCCTGCGGAAAACAGAAATAAAAATGAGAAAGACCTATACGAAGATCGTTCCGAAGCGAAGTAGAATAAATTAATGGAAAGCAACAAATTCAAGAATCCAAGAATGTTTCAAAAACATATGTTCCTAGTTTCCTAATCCACAAGCGTAAAAAGAATAGCACACAATAAAAAAACAACAATCCCATATTAACCTTCCACTTTTGCAAAACGTACCATCAGAACTAAGAAAAAACCCTAGACCGAACCAAACTCTTAAAACCCTTGATCCCAAAATTTTGAACAAGATCTTTGACCCGTTCTCCTTCCCAAACTATTTTGAACCCTTCATCCCAAGTCTTTGAACAAAATCTTTGACCCCTTTTCCTTCCGAACTCTCTAAATCCTTCATCCAAAGTCTTTGACCAACATCTTAAGCCGTTCTCCTTCCCAAACTCTTTGAACCCTTCATCCCAAGACCTTTAACAAAAATCTTTGACCCGTTCTCCTTCCCAAACTCTTTGAACCCTTCATGCCAAGTCTTTTAACAAAATCTTTGACCCGTTCT